TTTTTTTACTTTGTGTCTTGAGATAGAGTCTCACTCTAGCCCAAACTAATCTTGATCTTGGGGCAGTCCTCCTTCCTCAGTCTCCCAAATGCTGAGGTGACAGGTGTTCCAGCATGCCCCTTTCTTTGTACCCTCTTGACCCTGAGGGTCATATATCCAAGGCTTCCATGAGGGAAATCAGAGGAACAGCTGGGGGAGGACAGTACCTTGCCCTAGTTTACCACCTTCCTCCCAGGTTCACAGGCCTGTGCCCAGGTACCACTACCTCCCAAGACCTTGTGTGAATCCCGGCTGTTTATGTGACACAGCATGTGAATCAAAGGCACTTTAAGACTTTCCTTCTAGGCTTAAGGCACCTGAAGTGGGGACAAAAGACCCCATGCTGGGGAAACCCCCCCCACGTCCACTCACAGTCTCTACCTGGTTTCCAGCTGGCAGAAGTCCAGGCCAGAGCAGGTGTATGGGAGCCAGAGCCAGGGGCAAGCCTGGGACAGTTTGGGGTACCAATGGAGCAATTTGGCCACCAACTTATTACTAGGATCCCTTAAAACTGGGGAACAGCCCAGACCCAGGAGAAGGTGGGAACGCCTACCACCCTTTAGGCTGTGGGAGATGGGACTTGCATTCATCAGCCAGTTTAGCTCATATTTGAGGGACTGCTGTCTGCCAGCTGAGCCCCTGGAACCCCCAGCTTCTGGCTCTCACTCTGGTCCTTCCAGCCCTCACATTTCCTTGTCCCAGTTAAAGCTGATGCTCCAGCTCCTTTGTTTTCTGTTTCTCTGCTTGAGATACTAGCAACTGTGTTGTCTTCCCACTGCACAGTTCTGGACCTGACAGAGTTTGCACCTATCTCTGCTTCCCAGGTTCGAAGCAGGGAGCCCTCCCCAGCCCCCAGGAAGGGCCCAAAGCCTTCAGACTCCAGGGTTAGGAGTGAGGGAAGTCTACAAATCAACAGGCCACCCCATCTTTGCAGTGTGCTACCTAGACCCCGGGTGAGCTCCTTTTGTCAAAGACCCTCCTGCTGGGACCCATAGGAACACCCCTGGGTCCCTATAAAATCAGACCTCAAGGACCTACCTGTGTTCTCCTAGATGTCTGGAATTATGGCCCAAGAATCAGCTGTCAGGCTGAGACCCTGGCTTCCCATGGCTGCAGCTGATGGCCTGGAGGATGGTCCTTTGGTTAGATTTAAAAAATGGCAGGTGTTCCCATCCTCTGAGTCTCAGTCCCCTCTCCTTGCCCCTTGGACTTTATATAGGGAACTGGTGTGAAGCATCTGGGTCCACATAGGATCTCATGTAGCGCAAGCTGGCTTCAAACTCACCATGTAGTCAAGACTGACTGACCCTGAACTCCTGATCCTCTTGTCTCCACCTCCCAAGTGTTGCAAAGACAGGTGTGCACCACTACACCTGGTTTATGTGGTGCTGGGGGATGAACCCAGGGCCTTGTGCATCCTAGGTGAGCACTTTACCAACTGAGCAAAAAGCATTCTACCCACTGAGCTATGTCAGCAGCCCCCTTTGTTTTTTTGCCTGAATGTATGTAAGTGCTCCTGTGTGTACAGTGTCCATGGAGGCCAGAAGAAGGTATTGGATCTCCTGAAATTGGAGCTACAGACAGTTATTGGCCATCATGTGGATGCTGGGAACTGAACCCCAGTCCTCTGCAAAAGCAGTCAGTGCTCTTAACTGCTGTACATCTCTCCAGTCTCTGTTTTTTGTTTGTTTGTTTTTGAGACAGGATCTTACTAAGTAGCCTGGGCTGACTTTGAACTTGTGGCCATCCTCTACCCTCAGCTTCCCAAGTGCTAGGATGACAGAAATGTACCACCATTAAGGACAGTAAACCCATTTAGGAGGGTGGTAGACATCTGACATCACTTTGAATTCTGTTACTCTATCTCTTTTTAAGGTGGGAACAGACACAGCCAACCCACAGCTGGTGGATATGTCTATACCAGGATCTTTTTTTTCTGTAGCCCCAGGTGATGTCGAATTCACTATGTAGACCAGGCTGGCCTCCAACTCAAAGAAATCCTGCTGCCTCTGCCTCCGAATTGCTGGGATGAAAGGGGTGCACCACCACAACCAGCCTATACTAGGGTCCTTGTATATGGGTGTGGGTCAAGATACACATCAGAAGACAGCTTGCAGGAGTCAGTTCTCACCTTCTACCATGTGGGTCTGGGGGAATCCAACTCAGATCATCCAGGTTGGCAGCAAACCCCTTTACCTGCTGAGCCATGTTGCCAGCCCTACTCAATTTTTTTTTTTTTTTCCCCAACTCTGCACTGAGGCTCAGGGGTAGGAAGCCTGGATAAGATGAGGAAGTGGGGGGTAATATCCAAGTTGGGTGCCTGGGTTACCATGTCTCCCTTCTATTACAGGGTGCAAAATCAAGGCCCTTCGTGCCAAAACCAATACATACATAAAGACGCCAGTGCGTGGGGAGGAACCGGTCTTCATTGTGACAGGTCGCAAGGAGGACGTGGAGATGGCCAAGCGGGAGATCCTGTCGGCCGCAGAGCATTTCTCCCTCATCCGGGCCACACGCAGCAAAGCGGGTGGCTTGGCCGGTGCCACTCCGGGTCCTCCCAACCTGCCAGGCCAGACCACCATCCAGGTGCGCGTACCCTACAGAGTGGTGGGCCTGGTGGTGGGACCCAAGGGTGCGACCATCAAACGGATCCAGCAAAGGACACACACGTACATCGTGACCCCTGGGAGAGACAAGGAGCCGGTGTTCGCAGTGACTGGGATGCCCGAGAATGTAGATCGGGCGCGGGAGGAGATCGAGGCCCACATCACGTTGCGCACTGGAGCCTTCACGGAGGCAGGACCGGACAGTGACTTCCACGCCAACGGCACTGACGTGTGTCTGGACCTGCTGGGGGCCGCAGCCAGCTTGTGGGCCAAAGCCCCCCACCCAGGGCGGAGGCCCCCCACTACTGCCAGTGGCCTGCGTGGGGACAGTGCCCTGGGGGCACCTAGCACCCCTGAGGCCTTTTATGTGGGCAGCCGAGGAGGACCCCCACTGCCAGACCCGGGGCCCGCCAGCCCTTATAGCAGCAATGGGGGTTTCACGTTTGGGGGTGACAGTCCCAGTGCCCCCACGCGGTCGGCCACTCAGGAGGACTGCGACTTCAGTTTCGACTTCCTAGCGCTGGACCTGACTGTGCCTGCCACAGCCACCATCTGGGCGCCCTTTGAACGGGCTGCACCCCTACCAGCCTTCAGTGGCTGCCCCACCGTCAACGGGGCACCCACGCAGCCCGCCACCACTGCGGGTGCCCGGCGCAGCAGCAGCGGGGCGGCCAGCACCCCACGCCACTCTCCCACATTGCCCGAGCCGGGTGGACTCAGCCTGGAGCTGCCGCTGGCACATCGAGGCGCCCCAGACCCCGTGGGCGCCCTGCCGTGGAGACCCCCGCAGAGTGTGCTTCCACCCTTCTCGGGTGGGACCACCTTCTCCAGCACCCCCTCTCTACCCAGCCCCGCCCCGGCCGTCTCCACGCTGGACTCCGCAACCCCGGAGGGCAGCTGCAAGCCATGCACCCCAGCGGCCACGAACCCATCTTCGTCCTCCACAGCCCCACCCGCCTCAACGCTGTCACGCGAATGCGTAGTGTGCGCGGACGGGGAGGCCATGGCTGCCCTGGTCCCCTGTGGGCACAATCTGTTCTGCATGGATTGTGCTGTCCGCATCTGTGGAAAGAGCGAGCCCGAGTGTCCCGCGTGTCGCACGCCGGCCACGCAAGCCATTCATATCTTTTCCTAGCGTGAGCGCATGTGGGGAGCCCGCGGCGCATCCCCGGCCTGGGGAGCGGGGGGGGGGGCACCCCTGGTGGGAGAGGAGGGTGTGGGGGGGCCAGGCTGCGGGATGAGTGTGGCGGAGGGCGCATGATGGGCAGAGGGGCGCACACGTGTCGCAAACAGCTTTAACTCCTGCACCAGGCATGGAGGCGGCCGGACTGCGGCCCAGCGGCAGCGCCTCGGTCCTTGACGAATAACAGTATTTAGTGAACCGGTTTGCAATAAACCGGAGAATTGTCTGTTTGCACTTTTTATTAGGACACCCCAACTCCCCTTCCTGGGGTGATCTTAAATGAAAAAATAACACGATATTTACAACTCAACTGGGCCGCCTTTTTATTTCTTCTTGCTAATTTGGATTTAACAAGTTGTGGGTGCTTGTAGAAAGTTCCAGAAAATGGCAGGTGGCTTTAAAAAACAAAAACAAAAAAACTCCCTCTTTGTGGGGAGGCAAATATATATCATTTTGTACATCAGCCACGGAGTTGCCAGAGGAGGGCAGGAGGGCGATGTCTGGGGGTTCCCGACTACAGATTTCTAAACGGTTTTCTCCTTGGTTCTTTTTGTTTTGTTTTTAAATTAAGAGACCCTTTCCTGTTTTTTGTTGTCGTTTTTTAAAAAAGATTTTTAAAAGTTTTTTTATTGTTATTTTTACTTCACACTTCCCTTGTATAGGTAGGGAATTTATATTAGATATATTGTACTTTATGAAATAAATTTTAAGAACTAAAATATATTTTATTTTAAATAAAACAACGGACCTTTAATCTTTGACAGCTAAATCATCGATTATATATTTGCTGAACTGATTTAAGGGTTTAAAAATATTGTATCAAGAGTTTTATTTTTGGACTTGACAGCCTTCTTAATAAAGTCGTTTTACTATATGTAAGCACTGGCATCCACATGTTGTGGGAGTTGGGGGACTGGGAGGGATGCCGCGACTCCCTGTGCATGACTACTCAGACCCCCAACTTTGAGATCCAGGCTTCCAGTAGGCATTGTCTCTTGTTTGGTATGAAAACAGCTCTAGTGTCTGAGGGTTTGGTCTCCCTACCATAACAGTCCCTTTATGATAATGGGGGGGGGGGATCTGTCTGTCATGCTGTTGTGGGGAGTGTTGACCTGGAGCTGCGCCATGGAGCACACTGTGTGACCTGCAAGGCAGCTCAACAGTTTGGAGAGTGTTTACTCCCAGCTGGTCTGGTCATCCCATCGCCTCCGCCCCCCAGCCCCCAGCAGTTGTTTGTTGCTGCTTCACCAAGGTGACTAGATTCTTGGTGAATCAGCTTTAGAGGGAATGTTGCAGTTTAGAGGAAATTGCTGACAAGAGGCAGATCCCCCTAAGAAAGCTGATCCCACAGGGAAAACTGGGAGATCCCAGAGGGCTTCCTGGGAGAGGTGAGAGGTTGTCTGATCCATACTGGGTACTCTATCCCAGAAAAAGTCAGAGACCACATACCTGACATGGATCCTGGCTCTGTGGGTTCCAGAGCTCACATCCCCCCCACTGTAAGAAAAGTGACTACATCCTAGCTCTAGGGGCTGAAGGGACTGAAGTGTTAAGTTTTTGAAACCAGGCTGATCTGGAACTGGGTATGTAGCCCAGGCTGGCCTTGAACTCACAGAGATCCTCCCCATTGCTGGGGTTAAAGTTGTGCACCACCACACTGGGCTTGACTGTTTGATGCTGCCTCCCCTTACCCACAACACATACTACACAACAAAGCCAAGTCCAAGAATTACCCACCATGATCTTATTTGGAAAAAGGGTCTGAAGAGCAGACCTGGCTATCATCCTGGTTACTGAGAGCCCCATATCCCAGGACAGGTGTCTGGGACCAAGGAGAGTGGAGCCTGAGCACTCAGGAGGCTGAGCTTGGGGAGATCTTGAGTTCCAGGCCAGCCTGGGCTGCCCAGTGTGAGGCTTTTTCTGGAAAAAAGGCAGGTGGCTGGAGAGCTGTGTCAGTGGTTACTCTTGCACTGGCTGCTCTTGTAGAGGACCTGGGTTCGGTTCCCAGCACCCACATGACAACAACCATCTGTAACTTTAGTTTCAGGGGATCCGACACCGTCTTCTGGCACCCATGGGATCTATAGGCAGAGATGCACTTACATACATGCAGACAAAACACTCATACACCTGAAAGAAAAATAGCAAAAAGGGAAAGCCAGGCTTGGTGGCATGTCTACCTTCTCAGAACTGGGGAGTTTGAGGCAGGAGGATCAGTAGTTCAAGGTCATCCTCAGCTACATAGTTTGAGGTCAGCTTGGGTTACATGAGACCCTGTATCAAAAAAGAAAAGAGGAGAAGGGAAGAAAAGAAGAGCTGTGCTTGTAGCTCAGTGGATGAGCCAGATGTGGTGGTGTGCACCTGTCACCCCAGCACTAAGGGAGGTAGAGGCAAGAAGGTCAGGAGTTGAACAGTGAGGAAAGACAGAATGAGGCTGGGCTTGTAGGGATAGAGACACAGCCCACAGACACCCAGGGTCCCAGAGCTGGGGCTTTGGCATCAGCTCAGCCTTGCAGATCTGGGTCTCGGGCTCCAGGGTGATAAGGGACTCAGTATTGTGTTTCTCTTTGTTTAAATGAGTCCACCTTGACACTTTGTCCTGCAGCCCTGAGAAACTAAAATATGGAAGTCCACAGCCCGCTACAGCCAGGGCAGGTTGTTGGGTCAGCGGGGGAGTGTAGCTGTCAGCACAGTGGGGTGGCTTGTGGCCAGAGAGAGCTGATCTGCTGATCTAGATGGCAGAGGGAGCCAAGCAAGGGCCAAGGGTCAGAAACAGACAGGACAGGGTGGGAGGGCAAAGATAACCTTCAGAGGTAGGTAGGGACCCGGGGGCCAAGTGAGTCCAGGAGGGTGTGATGACCATTGTGGGCCCCACAGTAAGGGGTTTGGGTGTTGGGTGACTCTACCACTGAGCCACACCCCCAGGCTTTTACTTTAATCTGTTTTTAGTTTTCTGGGTTATTTGTTATTTATTTTTATTTATTTTGGTCTTTTTGAGACAGGGTCTCCCTGTAGCCCCAGCTGTCCTGGACCTATGTAGACCAGGCTGGCCTTGAACTCACAGAGATCCACCTGCCTCTGCCTCCCAAGTGCTGGGACTACAGGCGTGTGCCACCGTGGCCGGCTAATTTTCTGTATTTTACTACATATATTCATTTGTCAGGGGCAAGCAGGTGTACCTGGACCTGCGGAGGTCAGAAAATTCTCTCCTTCCACCATGTGGATTCTGGGACTTGAACTCAGTTCCTCAGTCCATGCACCTGCTGAGCCATCTTGCTGGCCCTCTTTTCCCTCTAAAACTGTTTTATTGTTCTTAGTTTCTGTGCATGAGTGTATTACCTGCATGTATGTAAGTGCACCCATGTTGCACAATGCCTGCGGAGGCCAGAAGGGCATTGGATCTGCTGAAACTGGAGTTAAGGACAGTTGTTAACCACCATGTGGGAGCTGGGGATTGAACCAGGTCCTCTGCTAAAGCAGCCAGTGCTCTTAACCCCTAATCCATCTCCAGCCCCTAGTTTAAATTTTTTCATTCCATTTCTTCATTTATTATTGGATAGGCAGGTGCCACAGCGTACTTGGGGAGGGCAGAGGAAATCTTGCTAGAGTTGGTTGTTGCCGTCCACCATGTGCTACTCAGGGGACCGAACTCAGATCATCAGGCTTGGCTGCAAGTGCCTTTACCTGCTGAGCTATCTCACCAGCCCTTTTCTTTTATTATTATTGTGGGTGGGGGTGTGTATCTGTGTGTGGTGTGTGGTGTCTGTGCTGTGTATGGTGTGTGTTCTGTGTATGGTGTGTGGTGTATGTGGTATGTGGTGCATGGTGTGTGTGTTGTCTGGTGAGTCATGTGTGTGTTGTGTGTTGTGTTCTGTGTGGTGTGTGGTGAGTACTGTGTGTTCTGTGTATAGTAATGTGTGGTATGTGGTGCATGATGTGTGATGTGTGTGGTGTGCCATGTGTGTTATGTGTGATGTGTGTGTGATGTATGTGGTATGTTGTGTTGTGTGGTGTGTGTGTGTGTGTCGTGTGTGATGTGTGTGGTGTGTTGTGCATGGTGCACACACAGGCATAGGACAGATCAGGACATGGCATGTCTTCCTCTGTCCCTGTCCCTTTCTCCTCTGAGCCGGACAGGGGCTCTGTCCTTGAGTCAGAATTTTGCCCCTTCATCCAAGCAGGAGCATTGTGCTCTCACAATCTGATATCTCACACTCTGATTCTGGTTTCATAGGCATGGGTGGACATGCCCAGGTTTTTACATGGCTTCTGGGGATTCAAACTCATCTTCATCGTTGCCAGGACCCTCACCCACTGAGCCACCTCCACAGTCCTTACTTGTTTATTTCTGAGTCTAAGGAAGTGTGGACCCTATATGGTCTATTTGTGTGTGTGTGTGTGTGTGTGTGTGTGTGTCTTGTGTCTCCCTCTCTCCCTCTCTGTTTAATGAGACAGAGTCACATAGCCCAAGCTGCTCTCAAATGTTGAAGCTGAGGATGACCCTGAAATCTTGATCCTCCTGCCTCCACCTCCAGAGTGCTGGGATGACAGGTGTGTGCCACTAGTCCTGATTTATGAGGTCCTGGAGATGGACCCAGGACTTTGTGTATGCCCAGCAAGCACCCTATAAACTCAGCCACAAGCACCCCACCCACTAAGCTACAATCAATCACTCTATCAATTGAGCTACTAGCCCCAGCAAAATTTTTTTTTTTTTTGGTCTTTTTGAGACGGTCTCCCTGTAGCCCCAGCTGGCCTGAACTTGCTATGTAGACCAGGCTGGCCTTGAACTCACAGAGATCTGCCTGCTTCTGCCTCCCAAGTGCTGGGGTTAAAGGCATTTGCCCCCACACCCAGCTCAGATCTTTTCTTTTCCACTTTATTATTTTTGTTTCATTTTCATTTGTTTTTTAAACAGGCTTACCTAGAACTCACAGAGATCTTCTTGTTTCTGCCTCCTGAGTGCCAGGATTAAAGATATACCCTACCACATCAGCCCTCATGTTTTTCGGGTGTTTTTTTTTGTCATATTTGTAAATTAGTTTTTTAAGGCGTACAGAGATGGCTCAGCAGTGAAGAGCACTGACTGCTCTTGCAGAGGACCCAGTTCCAGGGGATCTGATGTCCTCTTCAGGCCTCTACAGGCATTGAACGACTCGGGTGCACTCACATACGTGCAGGCAAAATACTCATACACATAAAATAAAAATAAATATAGCAATAAACAATTTAAACTTTTTATTTTTATTTATTTTTTTAAAATATTTTATTTATTATTTTTATTTTATGTGTAGAAGTGTTATGCCTGCATGTAGAGGGGTAAGTGTACCTGTGTGGTGCAATGCCCACTGGAGTCACAGACAGTTGTTAGCTGCCATGTGGACGCTGGGATTCGAACCCGGCTCTTCTGCAAGAACAGTCAGTGTCCTTAACCGCTGAGCCATCTCTCCAGCCCTAAACTTTTTATTTTTAATTATGTGCATTTGTGTACATATGGGTGTGTTGCCAGAGTCTAGAAGAGGGCGTCTGATCCCCTACAGCTTGAATTAGCAGGTAGTTCTGAGCTGCTCGATGTGAATGCTGGGAACCGAACCTGGGTCCTCTGGAAGAGCAGTATGCATTCTTCATTGCTGATCCCTCAAATAACTCATTTTTAGCGTATTTCCCAAATGATGCTTAGAATATCCTTATATCCACCTAGACCGCAATCCATTAGGAATTCAAATGTAACGGAGGTGGGGGGTAGATATGATAGTTGTATGATCCATGGTCGAGAGAGAGGAAACCTGGAACTCCAGAAATATTACACCCGGGGCCATCGAGATGGTTTAGCAGGTAAAGAAGTTTATAGCCAAGCCTGAGAACCCGAGTTCAAGTCACGGAACGCACATGATGAAAGAGAACGGACTCCCACGAGATGTCCTCTGACATGCACGTGTGCCCAAACACACTAGATAAATAATTTTAGCGTTTTTATTTTTTTGTTTGTTTATTTATTTATTTAGGAATTTAAATTACAAAACTATCTCACCTGCCCAGAACAAGGCGGCCCGTCCTCTGTTGCCCCCGTGTGGCCATTGCTGCACACGACACCTGCCACATGCAGCAGCGGCACTTCTAAAATCTGCCGCTAGGTGGCGCGGTCGCAGCGCAGACCCTATCCATAGTGGTTTATAACTGTAACCGCGGCTGTTTTATGTGCTTAGCTCAGTAGCTAAGTGGTAGTACCTGGCTGTCATCCCAGCATTCAGGAAGCTGAGGAAGAAGGATCTCTGAGAGTTCCAGGCCAGCCTGGGCTATAGAAAAAGACCCTAACCCAAAAAGAAAAAGGGGGAGGGGTAGTGAGAAGGCTCAGAGGGCATAGGTGATTGCAGCCAAGCATGAAGACCTGGGTTTAATACCCCAAACCCACAAGGTAGAAGGAAAAACTGACTCCTCCACGTTGCCCTCAGACCTCCATACACATGTACTCTGCCACATGGGTGCCTCTCAAAGACATAAATAAAAATTAAGGGCCAGGCATGGTGGCATCCTTTTGTGCCCATCCCCTAGTGCTGGGATAACAGACACATGCCACCAATAACTGGGTCAATTTTTTTAAAGACAGGGTCTCCCTGTGGCCCCAGCTGTCCTGGAACTTGCTACGTAGGCCAGGCTAGCCTAGCTCTCACAAAGATCTGCCTGCCTCTGTGTCCCGTGTATTGGGACTATAGGTATGCACCACCACGTCCAGCAATATTTTGGTTTTTTGAAGCTTACTTTTAGCCACTCTGAAGAAAATTCCAGAAATTTTTAGTGGGTGGCTGGGTGGGCAATTTTCCATTTTGTGAATTTCTTGTATCTTGAAATAAAAAATGAATCCAGGAGGTTAGGAAATTAATGTATTCTGTGGTTAGTTTATTTTTAATAAACCAACCATTGTGGGCTCAGGGCGTGGGAGATTCTCAAAGATCACTCCTGCCTGGACGCCCACAAACAGATGGAAATAAACATTTTAGGTAGGTCGTTTACCAAGACACACAGTCAAATAGACTCACCACACTTAGTTCTGTTTTAACCCAGAAACAAATGTCCTGGGTAGAGACAGAGCTTGTTCTTGTTCTTGGTCTGCATAATTCCTTTGTTTTGGTTTAGTTTTTGGTTTTGTTTTGTTTTGTTTCTTTTTTTGGTCTTGTTGAGACAGGGTCTCCCTGTAGCCCCAGGTGGCCTGGAACTCACTATGTGGAACAGGCTGGCCTTGAACTCACAGAGATCCACCTGCCTCTGCCTCCCAAGTGCTGGGATTACAGGCGTGCGCCACCAAGCCCAGCCTTGATTTTTGTTTTTGAGATAGAGGTTTTTTTGTTTTTGTTTTGTAGCACCAGCTGGTCTGGAACCCACTATGTAGACCAGGCTAGCCTCGAACTCACAGAGATTCGCCTGCCTCTGCTTCTGGACTGCTGGGACTAAAGGTGTGGGCCACCACTCCCAGCCCTTCTTTCTTTTATTAGATGAGAGTCTGTATAGCCTAGGCTGGCCTTGAACTCCTGATGCTCCTGCTTCTACGTCCCTAGTGCTGGGCTAACAGGTGTACACCACCATGTGGGATGGAACCCAGGACTTTATGCATGCTAGGGGAGAATTCTATCAACTGAGCCACAAGCACTCAATCCACTGAGCCACAAGAAGCACTCTACCCACTGAGCCACCAGCACTTTATTCATGAGCCGCAGATCCGGCAGTACCTGAGACAACTTCTTTTTCTGAGTGCTTCAAGAGCATATGGCCAACCAATCATGACACAGTCACATGTGAACATACACACAGCCTGGTTCATCTACATAGTGGAGTACCATGCAGCCCTGAACAGGAGTGAGGCTCCAACACACGCTACATCGTGAAGGGACCTTGAGAATCTCACACTTGGTGAGAGATCCAGACACAAACGGCCACATAGTGAGGGATTCCGAACAGGAGAATCCAGAGGCTGGAAGTGGATGTGTGGGTGCTGGGAGCTGGGGAGGGGATGGAGCAATGCTCATGTCACTTAGTATTTTAGGAAGTGCAGTGGGAGCTGGGGGAACCCAGTCTGCACAGTGATGTGGACTGCCGATTCGTGACCCACCTTAAAAGGGTGAATTTCAGTGCAGTAACAGAACAATCCTGGTGAACTTGTTTTCTGTTGTCTTCTGCCCACCACAACCCCTCCTCCCACCTCCTTTCTTCCAATCCCCAGGCCCCACTTACACTCCCCTGGATCCCTGGGGAGTCTTTCTCCCCCAAGGTCTATTCATAGACAGGCATGTGGTCCACTCTGACCTTCAGCTCCCACAACCTGTCCATCTCATTCACTTGTGAGACCCACTAAGGTGACGCCAAAGAGTGTGTTTTCACCCACCCCCACGTCCATATACAACAGATTTTCTTGGTGCTTTCCAAGAAAATCACAAGGTGCAGGGGCTGGAGAGATTGCTCAGTAGTTAAGACCACTGACTACTCTTGCAGAGGGGACCTGGATTTGGTCCCAGCATCTACATGGCAGCTAACAACTGTCAGTAACTTCAGTTCCCTCTTCTGGCATCTGTGGACATTTACACACTCATGTGCACTTACATACATACAGGCAATACACTCATACACATAAAATAAAAATAATAAAATATTTCTAAAATAAAGGGCTTTCTTGAAAGGGGGATATTTGATATGAGATCTTCATCCAAGAAGGCAATCTGGTGGAGATAGTAAAATACATAATTTAAAAAGCATAAGTTGGATCTATACATACAACTCTCTAAATGCCCATTCCCAGCACCCAACCCAGATAAGTTCCCTCCCCTCCTGTTCTATCCAATCACACAGAATCCTCCCAGAGCAGCAAAGGCCTTGTCTCTGAAGCTGCAGTCACAGGTGTGCATCACTGTGTCCCGCTTTAACTTGGGTGCTGGGGACAGGAACTTGGGGACTCATGCTTGTGTGCCAGTCTTTACCCACTGTGCAGTCTCACCAGTGGCTCCCCACCCATTTTCTTTCTAATCACAGAGACAATATGTCTCAGACATGAAGGTTGTGTCTGTAAATATCTCAGCCACAGTCCCCTTGTGCACTGGGGACAATGGGCTGCACCGTTCTCTAGAGTGCTGAAATTAAAGGTATGCACCACCACGCCCAATCTGTTCCACCATCTTCTATCTGAGACCCTTTAAGTGAATATTCCTGCTGGGCGTCATGGCACACACCTTTAATCCCAGCACTCAGGAGGCAGAGGCAGGTGGATCTCTGTGAGTTCAAGAGTTCAAGGCCAGCCTGGTCTACATAGTGAGTTCCAGGACAGCTGGGGCTACAGGGAAACCCTGTCTCAAAAAGACAAAAAACAAAAAATTAAAAAAGGCTGTGCATTGCTGGCCTGGGAGTGGTGGCACACGCCTTTAATCCCAGCACCCGGGAGACAGAGGCAGGTGGATCTTTGTGAGTTCGAGGCCAGCCTGGTCTACACAGTGAGTAGGACAGCTGGGGCTACAGGGAGACTCTGTCTCAAAAACACACACAAAAAAGTGAATATTCCTTAATAATTAGGAGTACGACAAGACCTCATTTATGGTACTGATTTATACAAACTGAAAATCTAAACCGGTCTCAACACACTAATTGAACAAGATGGATGCAGTGATGCACACCTGTCGTTTCAGCACTCCAGAAGCATAAGCAGGAGGATCAGGAGTTCAGGGTGATCCTTGGCTACATAGCCAATCCTAGGCCAGTCTGGACTACATGAAAACAAACAAAAGAAGTGAACAAGCACACCAGCTTACAGACTCGTGTTTTCTTTAATGAATGGGGCCCAACAAGTCATGCCACAGTCATGGAAGACCCCACTTGCTGGTGATCACAACATACCCATGCCTCCTAGATGCCAGCTTTGTGCACAGTGCAGAACAGAGCCCAGGCCCCTAACACCAACATGCAGAGGTCCATTGGGACCTTTGGGCTCTCTAGAGGCTCTGCGGCACGTTCAGCCCATGGCGGAGGTGCTGGCGAATGGCAGGAACGCAGCCGTGATGCCGTAGGGCATCCACTGCGTAGCATGTTGCAGCACCTGACTCCCAGCGGGTGAGCAGCAAGCCCTCACTGCCTCCGCTCAGTACCAGATGCATTTGGGCTGCCCTGGAGCTGACCTGGGAGAGAAAGAGGCCAAAGTTAGGGAGAGAAGGCCTCATGTGTCTGCACGGACTCTGACCTCTGCACAGCACCAGTGGACATTGGTGTGGGACCCGAGGGTGGACCTGAACTGATCTTGCCATCTTTTTTTTTTTTTTTTCCGTTGCTTTTGTTTTGTTTTAGTTTTGGGTTTTTTTGTTTATTTTTTGAGACAAGGTCTGGAACTCACTGTGTAGACCAGACTGGCCTTGAACTCACAGAGATCCGCCTGCCTCTGCCTCCTGAGTGCTGGGATTAAAGGGTGCACCACCATACCCGGCTTGTTTTAGTATTTTATTATTTTTATTTTTTATGTATGAGTGTATTGCTTGCATATGTGTAAGTACATCTGTGTTGTGCAGTGCCCGAATAGGTCAGAAGAGGGTGTGGGAACTGGAGTTATGGATGGGTGTTAGAGGTTAGTGGGCACTGGAAATTGAACCCGGGTCCTCTGCAAGGTCAGCCACTGCTCTTAACCACTGAGACATCTCTCCAGTCCCTGGTTTTTTTGTTGTTGTCATTGTTGTTTGTTTGTTTGTTTTTAGACAGGGTCTCCCTGTAGCCCCAGCTGGCCTCAATCTCACAGAGATTCACCTGCTTCTGCCTCCCAAGTGCTGGAAATAAAGGCCACAACCAGGCCTGGGCCTTGATTCATTTACTTTTATTTTTTGTGTATGACTGTCTTGCCTTCATGTATGTAATGGGTGTAATAGCCACAGAGATCAGAAGAGGGTGTCAGATCCCCTGGAACTGAGTTACCGATGGTTGTTAGCTGCCATGTTGGTGCTGGGAACTGAACCCAGATCCTCTGCAAGAACAACCAGGGCTCTTAACTGCTGAGCTCTCCAGCCACCTCTTTACCATTTTTTGTTTCACATGCCCCTGCCCAGCCCATTTCAGAACTCAGACACTCCCTGGGTCCAGAAGGTTGCCCTGGCCCTGTGTGTCCAGCTCCAGCCACTCACCTGAATTGCCCCATTGCTCAGCATCAAGACCAGAACTTGGGGGTCAGCTACAAAGCTCAGTAGACAGAGGCCAGGTGTGGTAGGTGTGTCAGGCACAGCAAACATGGGCACGGTTCCTTCCTATGGACAAGCTGGATCAGGGGCCCACAGGCCCCCAACTCCCCAACCCAGTCCTCCCCTCACCTCCTGCAGCTGCCTCTGCATGTAACAGGTGAAGCGCTGCAGGACAGCCAGCTTGGCATGCAGTGGGCTGGGCACGTCCCTCCATACAAAGGTCTGCAGCGTTCCTCGGTCAGGCAGGTAGGAGACGTGGCTGGAGACCAGAGATCTGCATAGGGGCTCTGCTCTGGGTGCCCCGAACCTGGGGACACCTTTCAATAGATCCGCACCCTCTTGAAGTCTGAATACCCCTTCTCTACATATTATCCTAAGACATGGGGGCAGAACACTTGCAAGATCCTGGGTTCCATACTCAGAAATAGAAAAACAGGGTGAAGCTGGGTGTGGTGGCGCATGCCTTTAATCCCAGCACTCAGGAGGCAGAGGCAGGCAGATCTCTGAGAGTTCGAGGCCAGCCTGGTCTACGTAGTGAGTTCCGGGACAGCAGGGGCTACAGAGAGACCTTGTCTCAAAAAGAACAAAAAAAAAAAAAAGAAAATTAGGGTGAAAATGAATCAGGGTGCTGACAAGATGGCTCAGTAGGTAAGGGGGTTTGCCACACAGGCATGAAGATCTGAGTTCAAATCGCCAATGCTCATGTAAAAACTAGACGTGGTACACGTCTGTATGACCCCAGTACTGGGGAGGCAGAGACAGAGGGATCCCTGGGGCTCAATGGCCAGGTAGTAGAGGCAGGCAGATCTATGCGTTCTAGGGCAGCCTGGGCTGCATAGTGAGACTCAAATAAAATAGGGTCTGGAGAGCTGGCTCAGCGGTTAAGAGCACTGGCTGCTCTTGCAGAGGACCCAGGTTTGGTTCCCAGTACCCACATGACAGCTAATAACCATCTGTAATTCCAGTTCTAGGGGATCTGACACTCTCTTCTGGCCTGCTTGGGCATTGCATGCATGGGTCACTTACATACATGCAAGCAAAACACTCAAACACACCAAATAAAAATAAAATAAAAATAATTTTAATAAAAATGAAATGTAGGAGCTAGAGAGATGGCTCGGCAATTAAGAACACTGGTTGTTCTTGCAGAAGACCCGGGTTCGAATCCCAGCACCCACATGGCAGCTAACAACTGTCTGTAACTCCAGTCCCAGGGGATCCAACAGCCTCTTCTGACGTCTGCGGGCATTGCACGATATGGGTGCACTTACCTACATGCAGGCAATACACAAATACACATAAAGTAAAAAAAATAATAATAAAAAAATGAAATGTAGTAACATGAAAGACAGGAACACTGACCTCTGGCTCCTACAGCCATGCACACACCACACTGGGTCATGCCATACATGCAGACTCTACCATATTTAACTGCAGCATGAAGCTGTTTGATGTTCCCTACTTTTTTTTGAGAGAGGGTCTCATGTCACCCAGGCTGACCTGCAACTCACTATGTAGCCGAAGATGGCCCTGAACTCACAATCCTCCTTCACTCCCAAGTGCTGGAATGACAGGTGTGTGACCCCACACCTAGTTCATGTGGTACTGGGGATGAACCCAAGGCCTCAGGAATGCTAGGCCAGTGCTCTGCCCACCAAGCCACAAGCACGCTACCCACTGAGACAAGCACTCTGCCCACTGAGAATAAGTACTCTCTCCACTGAGCTACAAGCACTTTCTCCACTAATCGATAAGCACCCTATCCACAGAGCCCAGCCTCACCTCCTCCTTCCTCCTCTTCCTTGAACTTTGCTCCCCTAGTGACCCTCCTCAGACCCCATGTTCTCCAAAGGCCCCTCTCCCCCTAATTGGCCACCCCATCTGATTTTGGTTATTCCTAGAAGCACCACCTGAAATCAACTTAGACATTCCTTTCTTTAGCTGAGCCCTCCACTACCGGTAGTTGCTTAAATAGCTAATGAATGAGTAAAGAAAGATGGGTGTAGCGTGCTACCCCAGGAGAGGAGCCCCACAAATTACCCTCGTGGTGGCCATAGGGCCATGTGAGAACCATCCCGAAACAGCACGCCACAGCCCCCATCTGACAGCTGGTAGCCAAAGCCACACTTGCAGGAATAATCCACACACTTGGGGACCCAGAGGACAGGCTGCAGCTCCCCAGGGGGTTCCTGTGTGGCTGGGCCTAAAGGGGAGAGGAGGGGCGCAGAACCAGGCTCAGGGCTGGGCTCCTTGTTTGCTTGTTTTTGTTTGTTTACATTTTTTGTTTTTGAGACAGCTGTGGCCCCAGCTGACCTGGAACTTGTTACATAGCCCAGGCTGGCCTCAGTCTTAGAGATATGCCTGCCTCCACCTCCCCAGTGCTGGGGTCAAAGATGCCACCAGCCTGGCCTTTAGCTCTGCACCTTGTGTAGCCTCCTACCCAGGGATCCTGCGTCCAAGCAGAGGAGAAGTTTCTTGATTGCAACCTCTACCTCCGGTGCTCGGCTCCCCTTCAGGTCTGGTGAGACAGAGTTGTGCAAGTGGCCAGACAGCCATGGGCTTCTGCCCACAAGGTTCCCTCCAACCAGCCTGGTCCACACACTTGCATCTGTGAGAAAGTCATTTCACACCCTGGCTATCCCAGTCATCTGTTACATGCCAAAAGTGGAGAAACTGAGGCCGAGAGAGGGGCCATGACCTAGCAGGATGATCCTCAACCCACAGTACCCCCAGGGATAGGGTCTGTCACTTACCTGTCTGGTCGCTCCTCAGGGTCCCGTGTGTGAGGGGGTGGACACCAGTCTCAGGGTAGAGGAGAGTTTTTTCCTGGGAGAGAAAGATGTTTGGGAGAGAGTAGAGGTGAAGACAGACCCCCATCCCTGAGAGATCCCCCTCAGAGCCCTGCCTGGCTTTATACACAGAACAGGTTTCCTCTTAGATAAATCCTGAGAACTTAGCAAAGGCATATAACAAGTACTCGTTAAATGTATGCAATGAAAATAGATAAGTGTCCCCTAGTCTCAGAGAATGCCAGGTTGGGGGACAGGTGGGTCCAGATGTTGTTAACAAGCCTGTTTAGAATCCCCCAGTGAGGGTCTAGGGGCATGGCTCGGGGGTAGAGTGACAGCCTAGAATCCCCCAGCAGGAGCTAGGGGCATGGCCAAGTGTTGGTCAATCTGGGGGCCATACATGTACTGGAATTTTCCATTGGAGCTTCAAGGAAACCTTCCCGAAGGAGGCAGCTTCCTCTTTGGTACCCACTCAACCCTCACCTCACTAGCGGACTCTGCGTGGTCAGGTACTGTCTCTTCTGCAGGTCCTGAGGCCTCTTTGGGAGTGAAAGGGCCTGAGGGAGATACAGGTTTCTGAGACAGTGAGAAGTAGTTCCTGCCCCCCTCATCCACCTTTGCCATGGACATGATGTGCCCAGGTGTGGGAGTGACATGGTCAGGTGGGGACGAGGAAGGCCAGTGATCATGGATCAGTGGGACAAGTGATGGACTGGGTTAGGCCATGCAAACACTGGGGGAGTGTCTGCAATAGGCAGAGGAGAAAAGGGATGGATGGCTACTTACAGGGTGGTCGGCACTGGGTCAGCAGCTGGCCCACCTTATGGAACAGCCTGCCCAGCGGTGGGGGGAAGATGAAGATAGGCGGGCTATGGCAGGAATGAGGGGGCAGCCGATCCGGGGTGAAGCCCTTCAGAGTTGGGGGACTGAGATCAGCTCTGGCTCTGGATGGCCCCTGCATTGCCAACAAGACCCCCAATCTCAGCTGTGCAGGGCTCACTGTTGGGGACACCCCTCACCTGGGTGAAAAAATCATCTTGAAGCAAGTGGTCCAGGCTGGGCCGCTCAGAGGGTTCAGGTGCCAGGAGCCTCGCAATGAGGCTGCGAGCACTGGGGGACAGCTGTGTGGGCTCTGGATAGCGGGCAGCGCGGATGTTTTGGTACATGTCCGAAAGGGGTGCCCCAGAGAAGGGTGGGGTGCCCATCAGCACTGTGTACCTAGGGCCAGGTTGGGAGGTAGGAATGAGCCAGGGTGTAGGAGGAACATACACACAGTTCTACCCCCACCTGGCCAAACCCTCCCCCACCCCAATTCTGGATCCCACAGCCCCACAGCTGCCCCTCAAACCCCCACCTGGCAGCTCAGAAAATTTCATCTGTCCATCCACCTGTCCCTAGTCTGCTCCTCCTGTATCAACTTTGTGGTTTTTTTGTTTTTTTTTTTCTAGACTTTGAACTCCTGATATTCGTGCTACCACACCTGGTTTATGTGGTGCTGTGGATGAAACCCAGGGCTTCATGCATGCTATGGGTGCACTCTACCACTGAGCTACAAGTACTGTACTTACACTCTACCCACTGAGACTTAGCCCTGCCCAAACCCGCAAGCATCTCCCCTCATACATATGTTGCCATGCCTGACTGCGGTCACAACAGCAGGTGTGTATGTTTCCGCCTGTGCACACCTATCCGTGTGGTATCTAAACTTTTTATTTCATTTTTAATTTTATTTATTTATTTTTATTTTTTGTCTTTTTGAGACAGGTCTCCCTGTAGCCCCAGCTGGCCTGGAACTTGCTATGTAGACCAGGCTGGCCTCAAACTCACAAAGATCTGCCTACCTCTGCCTCCCAAGTGCTGGGATCAAAGGCATGCGCCACCCCACCTGGTATTTATTTTTATTTAATTGTATGTGTGTTTGCCTGCATGTACGTATGTGTACCACATGTGTGAAATACTCATAGATGCCAGAAGAGGGAGTCAGATACCCTAGAACTGTAGTTGTGGACTGTTATTAGCTACCATGTGGGTGCTGGTAACTGAACCCAGGTCCTCTTTCAGAGCAGCTAGTGCTCTTAACCACTGAGCCAGATCTCCAGCCCCTGTTTTTTTTCCCTTCCTTCCTTCCTTCCTTCCTTCCTTCCTTCCTTCCTTCCTTCCTTCCTTCCTTCCTTCCTTCCTTCCTTCTGCCTGTCTGCTAGTCTTTCTTGTTTTTTGGGGACATGGTCTCCCTGGAGCTCCAGCCAGTCTGGATCTTGTAGAGATCCCTTTGCCTCAAAGGTGAGCACCACCAGATCTGTCCTTTCTGTGTAACAGGGTCTCACACTATAATTCAGGCTGGCCTCAAACTCACAGCCATTCTCCTGCCTCAGTCTCCTGAGTGGTTGGATCACAAGTATGCCCCACCATGCCCAGTTAACACCTGTCCATCTTTTCCAAAGGGGTTTCCCTGAAGCTCACTCCCCCTACCCATAGCTGGTCTCCCCTAGACAGTACCCCCACTTCCCCAACCCTGACCCCCCAGGGTTTCACTCACATGATGCAACCCAGAGCCCAGATGTCTGACTTGCAGGAGTGTCCTTTTCAGGACACCACTTCAGGGGCCTGAAAGTTTGGAGTCCCACAAAGCACCCTAGGAGGGGAATCATGGCTTGTTCAGAAAGGCTGGGGCTCCTGGGGCCCCACTGACCACCACTTGGAGCCCCACCCTCACTTGTGGCAGCAGCCTGCTGGCCCCACCCTGGCAGCCAGCCCCAGGTCTCCAATCTTCACCTCCATGTTCCTGTTAAGGAAGAAATTACCTGTGGGTGGAGAAGAGAATGAGGGTGTCTGTGGTCCTCACCTCCTCCCAACCTCCCAGCCCCCCAACCATGCTCCCAGCCCCTCATCATCCTCCTAGTCCCCCACCGTGCTCCCAGCCCCCCACTATGCTCCCAGCCCGCCTCCCGACCCTTCCCTGCTCACTGGGCTTCAGGTCCCGGTGCACTATGCGTCTCTGGTGCAAGTAGTGTAGGCCGCTAATCAGGCCCCGCAGATAATAGCGGACCTCAGGCTCGGTCAGTGTCCGCCGCGCCTTCAGCACGTCGGCCAAGGACTGCAGGGTACCCCGCAGGAATCAGGGGGGTGGTATTACGGGGTAAAGGGAGGGCACAAGGCGCCATATGTGGGGACAGGGGACACTGGTGACTGGACAGAGGCCAGTAGTCCAGCAAGCCAGCATGGCATGGGCTCAGGTAGGCACAGGCAGCCATGGAGAGGCAGAGACGGGTCAAGGAGGTGCCTGCCCGGCTCTTCCTGGCACTGAACTCCCAGCAACGTCCCCCCAGCAACAGCCAGCACCTACTCCTGCATCACCACCCAGCTCGGTCCAACCCAGTGCCACTCCATGCACCCCACCAAGCCTCACCCAAGTCACACCAAGCCACAAACCAACCCCAACTAGGCTCACGTCATCGGAACCCAGATACGCCCAACCGCACCAGGCCCCGCCCATCTGAACTATGCCACACCCACTCCACTAGGTCCACTAAACCACACCAAACCCTGCCCAGCCGTCCTGACTGGCATTACCAAAAACCTCCATCAGCATCTCCCAGCCCCACCCAGCTCCCAGGCCCTGCTTAGCTCCCCTGTCTACCCCAACTCCTCCCAGCCCTGCCCAGCAACCCCAGGCCCCGCCCACCTCCAAGGCCCTCCTTATATATCAGGCCCTGCCCAGCTACCAGCCCTTCCTTGTCCCCTGGTCCCGCCCAGCCTCCAGGCCACACCTCAGCCAATTCCAGCCCCTCCCAGCAAAGGCCCCGCGCACCTCCAAGGCCCCGCCTGGATCTCAGCCCCGCCTAGCAGCCTTGGACCCCGCCCAGCCCCCGGGCCCGCCCCCTGCTGCACACCTGGTGGCTACAGTACTCCAGCACCAGGTAGACATGGTCGTGGTCGGCAAAGTGTCCGTGGAAGGCCACGATGTTGCGGTGGCGCAGACGGCTGTGCAAGGCGATCTCGCGCTCCACCTGCGGCGCCCACGTGGGTCCCTCAGGTGCAGACAGCTGACAGGACCCAGGTCCTGCTTGTCGGCAGGGATAGGAAAAGACTGGGTGGGTAGGGGTGGGTGGGGGTGGGTGTTGGTGGGTGCTGGGATCTCACCTGCCCACGTGGACGCAGCCTCCCGGCCCCGCCCTTGGGTACCACCTTTAGGGCGAACACGGCGCTGGTGCACATGTCGGTGAGCTTGTAGCAGCGGCTGAAGGCGCCCTGCGGGGGACAGTGGAAAACGCTGGATAGCAGGACACATACGGGACACAGGGCACGCCAGGCACATGGGAAACAGACACACAGGACACGGGACACAGGAGACACACAGACCATACTGGACACACCGGGCACACCAGACACAGGAGGCACCCAGCACAGGATACACTGGGAACTGGATACACGGGACACACGGGACACAGGCTCACAGGCTCACCCCACACTAGCTGACACAAGAGATCTGGCAGCCAAACTCACACCAGAGATCACGGATCATGGATGGGATTCTGCAGAAGGAAAGCCACAGCCCATGGAACAGTGAGGAACTCTCTGCACTGGGACATGCAGCACCCAGACACATAGCACCCACTCAGGATCTAGACACTCAGCATCCAGACACTCAGCACCCAGACACAGTGCCCAAACACACAGTACTTGGACACATGACAAAAACACACCTAGGCAGACAATACTAGAACTACAAAAATCAGACACCCCACACCTGACACTCTGCGCAGCAACCTCCCCAGTTCAGACGAGCAGCACCCAGTCCCGGCCAGGCTCAGCGTCTTCACGCAGCGCACAAAGACCAGTCTCAGAGTGGGGCTGTGTACACACCAAGCGCTCAGGACCGGCACACACCAAGAACAGTCTCGGAAACGCAGGAGCAGCACACACGTCCCCCACGCCCCGACCCAGCGCGTCCAGTGCGGATTTCTGCCTGGTCCCCAACCAGGGGAAGCGGGGCGCACCAAACTCTACAGCTGTACGGCTCCCAATGCACCAGTCTTCTAGCGCGCATCCCGCCCTGCCGCTACACCACCCCACCACCCCGCCCTTCCTGCGCAGGGAACTCGGTGCCGGGCTGGTGACGGTGCGGGAAGTCCCCACCTTGCCGATCAGCTTCCCACGACGGTACACACACCCAGAGCCTGGGTCACGCAGGAAGGCGGCCACTAGCGGGCGGTTTTTCCGCCGGCGCTGAGCTCTGGGCTCCATCTGCGCCAGAAGCACTTCGCAAAGCAGCTCTGTGCAGCGCCACAGCGCGCGCAGGTCTTGTTGGAGAGTAGGGGCGGGGGTGGAAGCGGAGGACTCGGTGAGGAGGCGTGGCCCAGACACCCGAGGAATCCTGCCAGCACCCCAGGGAGCCGGACTGCCCTGTGCTCTGAGCGCCAACCTGGAGCCAGGTACTACGAAGACCCTTTACATTCGCAACCCAGCGCTTCCTAAGCTGGAACCTGTGACAGCATGGATTTCACCCACTGGGAAACTGAGGCCCAGAGGGCTTGCCTGGCTCCCTTGCAGAGTCTCCCCCACCATGGGAGAGGGATTCAGGGAGAGGGCACCCCAGGGCTCTGGCACACCTTAAGCTCCTCCCTAGCCAATAACCTGTGGGGCTTTGTCAGCTCAGGTACTGGGCAGCCACAGCAGGACTCAGAGAGAGGTCAGTCCAGCATCTCTCTAGGACCATGTGCAGGAATCAAAGAGGGGCAGGGTGGGTGGCCCTGACACAGGGTGGCTGGGGGGACAGCCAGCTGGCTTCCAAGCAACCTGGGATCTCACCCCTGCTCCTCAAAATGACACTCCTAAGCTGCCTGAACCCTGTTCTCATCCCATGTGTGAGCTCACCCCAAATGCCCCCAGATGGGACAGGGGGAGACCTGTGAGCAAGCACTGAGAGGGGTATTTCCTGCCCGCCCCCCTGGCCATACCCCCTTCAGTGGCATGGCCCGGACTGGATTCCAAAATCACTCTGGAAAATTCCACAGTCTGAATCCAGCCACACAGAGCCCGGCTAATCTGGAGGCCCCACTGTGTTATGTAACATTTGGGGGATTCTTACTAGAGGCAGATGGCTGGGGCTCACATCCTGCCCTGTCACTGCTGGGCTCACTAAGTGGAAGGGCATGAAATTGAGTTGTGGCAGAGGGGCCCAGGAACACATCCTCCCCACAGGGAGCTGGGAACCACTCTGGGAGTCTCAGAAGGACACAACCTACTCATTGTCCCCCCACATCCACATGTCCTGGCTGAATCTGCAAGTCCATCTTTGGGTTGTATGTGATTTGGCAGCAAGAGCCCCCTGTCCAGCCAACTGTCCCTCATCCTGGCTGCCATGGCTCCCTAGCACCTGACACTCTCAGGACCCTCCCTAGGGAATCACATACAACAGCAGCAGCAGTACCAGCAGCAGGAGTAACAGATTTTAAAGACTTTTGAGATAACGTGCGCATCTCACCACAACACTGGGGAGACAGAGGCAGGTGAATCTTTGTGAGATTGAGGCCAGCCTGGGCTACATAGTGAGTTCCAGGACAGCTTGAGGGTACTCAGTGAGACCTGAGACCCTGTCTCATAAAAACAAACAAGTAAATAAATAAATAATAAAGGCTTTGAGGGCAGGACTTCAGTCTGCCAAGGCTTTCTCTAAGGTTAGGGGCTGGTCTCAGCACCAATTAACAGACAAGGAAACTAAGCCTACAGGAGGCTCCTGCAAGCTCACAGTCTACCCCCATGCATCCCAAGTCCCGGCCCACGGAATGATGGTCCCCAATTTCCTTTCTCCCCCAAAGAGCTGAACCAAGCAGAAACTTTTCTGTGGAAGGGCTGAGGCTCCTGGCCCGGTGCCCTGCCTTGTGCCCATCAGCTGATGTGTGGCCCTCTGCCTCTCCCTGGCTGCTCTACAAGGGGTGTCTGGCCTGAGCTTGCTCCCTGAAGCTCAGAGGCCTCCTGGTCCCTCCATGTACGCCAATGAGGAGGGACACCCCACACCCCAGGTTCCCTGCCCACCCCAGCCTGGCACAATACCATTCTTGGCTCACTTCAAAGGTGTCAGGCAAACATTAGGAGATGGGGGACCTTGAGAGGTACAGAGTCTCCTTTTGGGGGTGTGAAAATGTCTAAGAGACATCTACATTTGAAGTTTATGGGGTAGGTTTCAGATTCATTCTAAGACGGTTAGCAAGACTGGGATCCCAACTGATGTGGGCAACATAATGAGATGCTGCTTCACAAAAAGCCCAGCCTGGGCTACACAGTAAGTTCCAGGCCAGCTGGGGCTACATAGTGAGACCTTTTAATTCTAGCACTCAAGAGGCAGAGGCAGGCTGATCTCTGTGAGTTCAAGGCCAGCCTGGTCTACATAGCAAGTTCCAGGCCACCTGGTACTAGAGGGAGACCTTGTCTCAAAATGACCAAAACCAAAACAAAACAAACAAAAACCAAGAAAGGAAGAGAGGGACAGATTGACATAGATATTGATTTTCATAGCAGACAGAGATGGACACAGCCCAGTATCCATAAATGAATGATGGATATACAGTGTAGTCTGCCCACACAATGGAATATCAAGCAGCCCTGAATAGGATCAAGGCTCTGACACTTGCCAGGTCGTGGAGGGACCCTGAGGACAACCCACGCAATGAGAGACAGACACAAAAGGCCACACAGTGTGGGACTTCACAACAAGAAGTGTCTAGAGCAGGAGACCCCAACAGTAGGAAGTGGATGCCGAGTCCTGGGAGGGGTTGGGAGTTAGTGTTGAATGGTGACAGCATTTTCCTGTGGAGAGAAAGTTCTGGAGGTGGATGGCAGGGACTGCTATGTGAGTGAGCTTCCTGTGTGCTAAAAAGATAAACATACTCATTTTATTTTGTTTTAACATTTTATTGAGATAGGGTCTAGTATAGCTCAGGCTGGCCTTGAACTCATGATGTAGCCAAGAATGACCCTGAACTCCTGATCCTCTTGCCTCAGACCCCAGGGGGCTGGAATGACAGGTGTGCACCACCACGCCTTGGCACAAACTAGCCAATCTTACAAGAGAAGTGTCCTACTGGGCCTCAATGACTGGTGGTCTCAGGCAGGAGCCTGTCTGGCAACCCCCCCTGCACCCTACAGTGTACCCCAGTGCTCAGCACCACAGCCCCAGTTCCCCTCCTGTCTCTGCACTTTTGCTGACCTGAGATAACTTTTCCGACTTAGCAGATTTCTCCAGAGAAGCTCCAGAGAGCTTTGCTCAAAATATCGGCTGCAGGTGGATGGGGTGGCGGCTGTCCTCAGCTGAGACTCTCCAGAGGTTTGTGTGGATCCTCCAGGTGCCCCAGGACTCCCAGCCACATGACCGGGGGAGCAACTCCTGTCCCCATCTGGGCTCCCGTGGTGTCCATGTGGCTGGACTCATCAGTCCTCAGCCACTTACAAAACATCCCCGGAGAGGCTGAAGTCCCCAGGGCTCTGGACACAGGAGAGAGCTGACCTTTACCCACAGCACCCCATGATGGGGCAACATGGCCAGCAGGGTGTGAGGGGGACTCCAGACAGGTGGCTTTAGCAGTGACAGTGGGGGGTGGCTGAACTGAGCTGCTGGCACCCCTCTCCAACTCACTCTCTAAAATTCAGACCCTGAAGCAAGGGTTCTGTGCAGACCAAATTTGGAGAACCTTATGAAATCTGGTTAGCACTCGGACTTCCCTCTGGCTTCTCATACCAACCCCAATCCTATCCCTCCCCCAAGACCATTGCATACTCCATCATCTCAAAACACATCTCCAAATCTTTCCAGGCCAGTCCAGTATCTACAGAGACACAGTGTGTCTCATCCATGCACTGGACTTTTATACAGCCATGAACAGGAACAAGGCTCTGGCACAGGAGAACACAATTCCCCGATCCCTGACTCCAGTCTGCTCTGATTTTTTTTTCTCTTTTTAAAGATCTGTAGTTTTAGCCAGTCCTGGTGGCACACACCTTTAGTCCCAGCACTTGGGAGGCAGAGGCAGACCGATCTCTGTGAGTTCAAAGCCAGCCTGGTCTACATAGTGAGTTCCTGGACAGCTAGGGCTACAGGGAGACCCTGTCTCAAAAAGACAAAAACAAAAGTTCTGTAGTTTTTGTATTTTTTTTTTTTTTTTGAGATAGGGTCTCACTGTGTAGCTCTGGCTGACATGGAACTTGCTATGTAGACCAGGCTTTCTTGATCTCAGAGAGATATCACCACACCCGGCACCTTCTGTAGTTTTTTTTTATTTACCGTAGGCATCCCAGGGCACCCCAATCTTTGCCGTCACCACTCAGCATGTGACCCTTGCAGTGGACGCTCTTCTCCAATGGTCCTTTCTCCTGCCGGACATGGCATCAACCTCAGAGCAGAACATCTACCAACCCTCCTGTGCAGGCTGCTGTGTGGGAGCAAGAACAGGCCTGGTTTCCACGGGAGCCATCTGTTTTTGTCTGTGGGGCTTTTTACTAATGACAGAAAGCTAAATGTCAGAGGAGACCCTGGGGACAAGAGCAGAGAAAGAGAAAAAGCAAGGTGCAGTGGCACATGCCAGTCATCCTAGCACCTAGGAGGTGGATGCAGGAGGGTCAGGGGTTAAAGGTCATTCTCAGCTACATAGGGAGTTTGAGGCCAGCCTGGGCTACACAGTGAGACTCTGCCTTAAAATAAAAAATAAAAAGAAGCTGGTCTTGGTGGCACACACCTTTAGTTCCAGCACTTCAAAGGCAGAGGCAGGCGGATCTCTGTGAGTTCAAGGGTAGCCTGGCCAGCTCAGGCTACAGGGAGACCCTATCTTAAAAACAAAAACAAAAACAAACAAACAAACAAACAAACAAATATATATATATATATATCAAAAGTAAAAAGAGGGGCTGGAGAGATGGCTCAATGGTTAAGAGCACTGACTGCTCTTGCAGAGGACCCAGGTTCGATTCCCAGCACCCACGTGGTGGCTACAAATTGTCCTTAACTCCAGTTCCAGGGGAATCCGAAGCCCTCCTCTGACCTCTACGGCATTACACAACACGGATGCACTCGCATACATGCAGGCAATACACTCATACACATAAAATAAAAATAATAAAATATTTTAAAAAGTAAAAAGAAAGCTGGGGCTGAGTGGGTAACATGATTGTAGCATAGTGGGTAGGGTGCTTGTGGCTCAGTGCAGAGTGCTTGTAGCTCAGTGGGCAGAGTGGCCTAACATGCAGGAGGCCCTGGGTTCATTCCCAGCATGTATGCCTGTCATTCCAGCACTGGGGAGACAGAAGCGGGAGGATCCTTGGGGTTCCCTGGCCAGTCAGTTGAATCCATGAGTTCCATGTTCCATGAAAGACCCTGCCTCAAAAACAATGCAGTGCATGCCTTTAATCCTAGCACTTGGGAGGCAGAGGCAGGCAGATCTCCATGAGTGGGGCTACACAGTGAGACACTGCATGGAGAGACAGTTCAGAGATTAGGAGCACTGGCTGCTCTTGCAAAGGACCTGGGTTTGGTTCCCAGTACCCACATGGCAGCTAACAACCATCTTTAACTCCAGTTCCAGGGTATCTGACACCTCTTCTGATCACTACCAGCATTGTATGATACTGATGCTCTTACATATGTGCAGGCAAAACATTCATACACATAAAATATAAATGATAAAAAATTTTTAAATTTATTTTTATTTAATTGGTGTGGGTGTATTGCTTGTATGTAGGTAGGTGCTCTTAACCACTGAGCCATCTCTCCAGCCCTGAAATTAAAAAAAAAAATTTTTTGTCTTTTTGAGACAGGGTCTCCCTGTAGCCCCAGATGTCCCGGAACTCGCTATGTAGACCAGGCTGGTCTCAAACTCACAAAGATCCACATGCCTCTGCCTCCTGAGTGCTGGGATTAAAGGTGTGCGCCACCACACCCGGCCCAAAATTTTTTAAAAGGTGAAGAACAGTTGAGAGACACCTCACACTGACCTGTGCCCACACCCAGGTGCACAGGCAAAAGTGATATATACTGATGGCTCAGCTTGATTCAGGATCTCAAGTTTCTACTCCCTGTCTATTGTGGGAGGGGCGGTCCTTGGATGCAGCTCAGGGTCCCAGCACAGCATCCTGAAGGAAAAACGGGAACCCAGGTTCCTCCCCATGGGTGACCCTGGCCACCATGGGTCCCAATTCCTCCCTTGTTCATCCCTGGGCCCTGGGGCATCCAGAGAGTCCGAGATGGTCTGGACAGGAGTGACCAAACCTAAGTCAAGCTGGGAACCTGGTGGCCAAGCCACAGGGATCTTAGAGGGTGACTTCCCTGCCCCAGCACTCCCTATTGTACCTTTTTGAGAAAAGTTTAAGTCATATAAACTGAGCTGCTGACTTTTTTATAAAGATTTATTTTTATTTATCTATTTATTTTTGGTCTTTTTGAGACAGGGTTTCCCTGTAGCCCCAGCTGACCTGGAACTCACTATATAGACCAGGCTGGCCTCGAACTCACAAAGAGCCCCCTGCCTCTGCCTCCCAAGTGCTAGGACTAAAAGCATGCATCACCATCACCACCATGCCTGGCTCTTGTCTTTTTTTTTTTTTTTTTTTTTTTTTAAAAAAAAAAAAAAAAAAAAAAAAAAAAAGAGGACGATAAATCTTTCACTGTGATATATCAAAATAA